AAAAAAAATTATTTGCAACTCTATTAACACTAAAATATATATATACCAGGTGTTTAATAATAATCTGTGAAAAGTTTGAAGTTTTGAGTGAAAAGGTTAAAAGATACAAGTTTTATTAAATTTTTTATATTATCTATTTTGTTGCAAATTCAATATTCTTTTTATTATGTATACTGCATTTTATACAAATTGTATATTACTAAGAAAAAGAAATCAAAATAAGAAGCCAACAGAAAAAGAATTTACAAACATTATTTAGCATGTTGATCTTACACAAAAAGTTTACCCTGGAGCATTAAAAAAAAAAAATTGATGAGTATTAAATATTTTTTTTTTTTTAATTCACCTTGCTTGATTGGCTTTTTATCAATCTATTAAACTAAATTTTATTTTATCAATTATTTATATTTCTGATTTTCTTACTTTTATCTATTATTAAAGAATATCATAATGATTACAAATAACTTTCTTATGGTTATTAAGGAATTGCTGTGGCTATCCCAGAAGTCTTCATGGTCTTATTATAGAGCACTGTGTAAGAATATTTAGCTAGGAAGTTCAGGCCTCTTTCTTTACCAATGTCACTTATTGAGCAGACATCGAACCTTAAACCTTTTGATTCTGAACCAAAATTCTAACCATTGTGATACGACTGCTTTTAATAATTACTTTGGTATGACCTGGATTCATCGCAGTATGCCAAAAAAAATGACATCATTCTTTGAAAAGAACTAATTTAATAAAGTTTATAATCATAAATTACAAAGTGGACTATAAATTATTAGCCAAAGCGGATAACCCACCAAATATTCCTTAATGTTGTCTAACTGAGAGCTTTTGAAGAATACTAAAAAAGAATGGTCTATGCAAAGAATAAGCAAAAAATCGGAAAGAATTTTATATTAGGATAAATAGCTGCCTCAAGAAATTCAACAAAAAAACTGAACACTTGTCTAATATAATAATAGACTGACAGAAGAAAGTTAATAATGAAACTAATGTTTAATAAGCCTTTTTTTTTTGACAAAGCCATGAAGGCCAATTAAAGAAGGAAAATTGAACAAAGTAAAAATTACAAAAAAATAATGCAATATTTTTGATTGCATTATTTTTCAGTATGTAAGATCAAAATACAAAAACACAAAATATAAAAAAATATTCTTAAAACTTACTTCACTAGTATCATTAAAACATAACAAATTTTGAAGTCGATCCTGTGAATATACAGTGTCAGGCATTTTAGGAAGACAAAATGCATTTGTCATTCTACTCAATGCCACTTGTCTCATCTAGAAAAAAGAAAAAGACTCTTATAGATAAATGAACCAAAAAAAAGTCTTGAATTCTTTTTAAATTTATTTTAAAATTAAGTTGTTGCAACAAACATGCTAACAAAATATATTTAAAAAGTTATAATAAATATAAAAATTAACGTCTTGATAAATATTAAAACTACATAAAATAAACATAAAAAAAAAAACAGTTTTAATTTTGTCTTGATAAATTTCAAACCTGATTGAAATATGAATGAATAAGAGAGGCATTGAGAAATGAAGACAACCTTTAAAGTAAAATCATTTTTTTACAAGAACAAACATTTGGTAACAATTTATATTAAGATGATTTTAAAAAATGTTTTTTAAAACTTTTTTTATCATTTTGTACTATATATAACTCAAGGGTGGAAATAGATATTGAACATATGCACCCCTTGGACCATTAAGACCTGCTGGAAGAGGGTAATCAACCACTAATTATTACTTTTTCTTAATAAACAATAGTTGGTATATACAGTATATATTTTATGTCTACAATGTTTTTGGATCAGGGAACATAACTGGGTTGTGATAATAAGCTTATTATTATGCTTATTTATTATTTTTGCTCTCCCACCTATTGTGTGGCATTGTTAAAGCTTATTTGAAAAAAAAAAAGCCAAGAAAAAAAAGTCATAGATATTGTGAAGTTTATTACTCTACTGCAATTTTATTTTTGAAAGGTTATTTAAATTTTATTAAGTCATTTTATTGTTAATTATAAAATATAGGCAGAATTCAACTAATAAAGAGTATAAACTTTTTATAAAATTTTTAGAATTAAATTAATATATATATATATATATATATATATATATATATATATATATATATATATATATATATATATATATATATATATATATATATGTATATATATATATATATATATATATATATATTGAAGTACTTAAATAATTAATTAAAATAAACTTACTTTAAAAGTTTGAAAAATCTAACATAATTTTTTTCTTGAACAGATAATAAGACTTGCAAAGCAAACTTAACTTGGTATGATTTCCTAACCTCTTCACGAAAACAAACAGCTTCTCTAAAAATATAAAAACCAAAAAACAAGTGATTTTCAATGCTTACTATTCATGATACAAAGAACACATATGGATATTGCATAAATTACATCCATATCACAAAGAACACACTCATGTATTGAACTAACTTTAGATAGTTTTGAAATTTCAATGTTAAACCAAAAAAAATAAAATTAATATTTATTCATTAATTTTTTTTGGATTAAGGTTTTTATTAAAACAACCTTTTCAGACTTTTTTTAAAAAAAAACTATAAAAACAAAATCTAATAATTTATAAACTCAAAGTAACCTTACCTTAATGTATCAGCATTGTTAAGATTAAGTAGAATTTGATAACACCGAAACTCAACTTCATTTGGAGAACTAATACCCTTTAATTATGAAAACATGTTTAAAATATGAGATATGATGACCTTGTATTTACTACAAATACAAAGAGTATACAAAAAAAATTCATACAACAATTATTACTAGAGCATAGTATTTATAATTAATTTTAAAAATCACACTGGGGGATTCTGATGTTAACAATAAGAAGGTCATTTTTGGTAAAATAGTGGTTAGTGGTTAGTAATGATATATTTCCTCAAAAAATCATTTCAAAAACCATTGCAAATAAGATCCTTTACAAAATAAATATTTTTATAATATATAAAATACAGCGACATACTAAAAATTTTTGTCTTATTATTCTTTCTTTTTTTTATCACTAAAGCATTTTTAATCTTATTTATAACTTTAGTATAACTATAAAACATGATTTACGTAACATACTTGAAATAACTGAATATATAAAAAAAAAAGTGTGGCTTATTTATTATACTTACTTATTTATTACACTTACTTTTTTTTAAGTGTGAAAAACATATTAAGCGTAACTTTAATGTTTTTTACACTTGTGTGGTTTAGACTCCATTATGCTATTTTGCTTAAATTAAATGACATGGATAAAGATTCACAATAAAAATACTCAGGACTTAGTAAACTTTTTTTTTCTTCTAGGAAAATTACCTTAACTACGGTAATGGAGCTTCACCTTTTTTAAAAAATGGGGGGAAAAAATAAAAAATAAAGTTAAATATATATATATACATACAAACTTAAATATATGTGTCATACCATTTTTAGTTAGTACCAACCTTGAAAAGATACATGTAAAAATTTGACAGCTGTCAGATTATTAGTTTGTGATATATTGCTCTAGTAGTGAAGCTACTTTTGTTATTGTGAAAAAAATGGAAAAAAAAGAATTTCGTGTGTTGATGAAACATTACTTTTTAACGAAAAAAGGTGCTGCCGATACCAAAAAATGGCTTGATGAGTGTTATCCAGACTCTGCACCAGGCGAAGCAACAATTCGTAAGTGGTTTGCTAAATTCCGTACTGGTCATATGAGCACCGAAGACGATGAACGCAGTGGACGCCCAAAAGAGGCTGTTACCGATGAAAATGTGAAAAAAATCCACAAAATAATTTTGAATGATCGTAAAGTGAAGTTGTTGGAGATAGCTGACACCTTAAAGATATCAAAGGAACGCGTTGGACATATTATTCATGAATATTTGGATATGAGAAAGCTCTGTGCAAAATGGGTGCTGCGTGAACTCACAATCGATCAAAAGCAACAACGAATTGATGATTCTGAGCAGTGTTTGGAGCTGTTACATCGAAATAGAACCGATTTTTTTTGTCGATACATAACAATGGATGAAACATGGCTCCATCACCACACTCCGGAGTCCAATCGACAGTCAGCTGAGTGGACTGCACGCGATGAACCGACTCCAAAGCGTGGAAAGACTCAACAATCAGCTGGGAAGGTTATGGCCTCTGTTTTTTGGGATACGCATGGTAAAATTTTCATCGATTACCTTGAGAAGGGAAAAACCATCAATAGTGACTATTACATTGCGTTATTGGAGCGTTTGACGGATGAAATTGCAAAAAAACGACCTCATTTGAAGAAGAAAAAAGTTCTGTTTCATCAAGACAATGCACCGTGTCACAAGTCAATGAACACGATGCTTAAATTGAACGAATTGGGCTTCGAATTGCTTCCTCATCCACCGTATTCTCCAGATTTAGCCCCCAGTGACTTTTTCTTGTTCTCAGATCTCAAGAGAATGCTCGCTGGTAAAAAATTTAAGAGCAATGAAGAGGTGATCGCTGAAACTGAAGCCTATTTTGAAGCAAAGGACAAATCGTACTACAAAAATGGTATCGAGAAGTTGGAAGATCGAATAAAACCGAATCTTGAAAAAAAAACGTGTTTTTCTATTAAACGATACGAACTTTTCAGCCCAACTGTTATGTATGTATGTATGTATGTATGTATGTATGTATGTATGTATGTATGTATGTATACATGTATGTATGTATGTATGTATGTATGTATACATGTATGTATGTATGTATGTATGTATGTATGTATGTATGTATGTATGTATGTATGTATGTATGTATGTATGTATGTATGTATGTATGTATGTATGTATGTATGCATGTATGTATGTGTATATATATATATATATATATATATATATATACATACAAACTTAAATATATATATATATATATATATATATATATATATATATATATATATATATATATATAACTTTATGTTTTATTTTTTAATTAAAAATAAAAAATAAAAATAAAGTTGAAAATATATATATGAAAATAAAACAAAAAATTGTACACCATACCTTTTCATTCCATAAGTCCTCATACATATGTTTTAAAGTTTGAAGGCATTTTGTTAAGTTTTCTAAATTTATCTTGGGATCAAATATCTGGAGATCCTCTTCACATAGGTGATGAGAACAAAATATATGAAACCTAAATTTAAAATATATATTATTTAGTTAATTATGTTATATAATATAATTAACTAAAGTTTTTATTAAAACAAATTTCAGACATTTTTTGTTTGATTGTTTTCTTTTTAATTGTGATTTTTATTTTTTAAAAAATTTTAAAAAGAAAATAAAAAAAAGACCACTGCTTTTTTTTTTTTTTAACAGAAGTTAAAAAAAAAATAATTTGCTTAAAATATAATTGTATAATAAATTGTATTATGTAACATAAAATAATAATAATGTGATAATAATCATAATAATAACATAACAATAATGATCATTTGTATTTTACCTTGCACATTTTTCAATTAAGTCAATGCTTGTCAAACATTTTAAGTTTTGTTGAGTGATATCCTGTGAATAAACTTTACAATTTACAAACATTATCAAATAAAAAACAACAATTGCTTTTTTTTTTTTTTTTTTTTCCTTTTTTGGTTTAAAAAAAAACAAAAAAACTTAGGATATCTTCTTAGATATCATCTTAAAATACCTTCCTAATGGCTCTTAGTCTATTCCAAACAAAGTCAAACCAATCATATCGAGTAACATATTTTTCATCCATAATATTACAAATTAAATAATCCATTGTAAATTTCAACACAGGTGCTGGACGTAGTTCATGTGGCAGTGGTTCTTCTTGATCTGCAGATGAACGACTGTACTCCTTAACAGCTTTAAAAGGATCAATTGTAACAACATCCATGTTACTCTGTAAGAAAAATTTTACTTAATGTTTCAAAAATGTAATCCTAAAAATACAGAAAAGCTTAACCAGTAATCTATGTTATAAACATTTCATAAGCATTTAACATAACTTATGAATAAATTCTAATATTCACATATCTTTATCTATATTTTATATGTAGAAAAAGGTGTGTTAGATACAATAAGATGTAAAAAATGTGTGCTAGATACTAGAAGATGTTTATCTAACATTTTTTCAGAAGCTTTTGAAGTTTTTGATTTTGAAGTTGCCCATTTTAATACAATTAGAACAGGCTAAGGATAAGCTAAAACAGTTTTTTTTTCCATTAAAAAAACCTCTAGTAGCATAAAATTTAATTTTATTCATTTAATTTTTAATTGCATCAGCACTAATAGCAGTCAATTGGGTCAAAGAATACAAATTTAAACCCTTGTACTATTCAAAATGCAATTCAGTAAAGCTTTGGGGCTTATTGCTTTTGGCAATGACAAGTTTTAGATTGAACATTGTGGTGTCCCAAAATCATACTTTTTTAAAAATTTAAATGTGCTCTCAGCTGATCCCCATTCTATAGGTCCTAAACAGCTATCAAATTTTTTTTTTTTTAATTTTTTAATGACTAGAAGTAATAGATGTAAATTCTGAGTTTTACGGTTTTGTACACATATGTGTATTTACATTAAAATAGCATATAAATGAATTTATTTGTGTACGAAGGAATTCAAAATTCTAACTTGTGCACGAAAAAATTCTTGTGTAAATGGTTATTAAAGCCGTAACAGTAAACTTAAATAAAATATACGAGATACTAGAGGGAATAACAACTTTATAGATTTTTGATGCAAGGGTAAAATTTATTATAAATTTAGTTAAAAAACTGATTATTTCGAAGTTCATATAAAAATAGGTAGAACAGCTAAAAAAAAAGAAGATGATAGGACAGAATAAGAAAAAACAGAGAAATACAGAAAGGTTGAGGTATATTTACCTATTGAAGTGCCCACTGAGGGATTTACCTCAGAGACAGCTTCCATCTAATGGTGATACTCTAAGATACTATCAATTTATCCTTCGCGAGTCACAAGTTAAATACAAACCCACATCTACTAATGTTGGTTGCAAATTGAAATCAAAATCCAAGGATCTTGTTTGTGAAAATGGTGTTTGTACAGATCCTGATAATTCTTGCTCGGTAACTAGGATTTAAAAAATTTGGGATAATGATAGGTTTGGCAAGAAATTTGTGATTTCTGGGTACAATATAAAAACCAAAATCATTTAACTTAATTTAAAATACAAGAAATTGATTAAATTGTCTTCTCTAAACTGGAACAGCAGCCTTGATAAGCAATCAAAGTTAAAGAAAGATTTTCTCACAGAATCCTATCAGCTTTTTGACATCTCCACTGAGAATTTTAAATATTTGATAGATTGAGAACAGATGACGCCAAACTGGAAGATATAAAGTAAGTTCATTAAATAACATTTTTTTTAGTAGTGAGATTTTTTTTCCGATTTAAAATAACTTAAATAATAGCATATTATTTCCTTTAAAATATTTACGTTTAACTTTTTCCATGGTTTGGTCATCTTCCAAGAAAAACTAGAACAATTGTTAATTTATTTATAAATGTCTTAAAAGATTTAAATATTTCTTAGTTTTTATGAGACAGAAAAATGTAAAAGATATCAATGATGATTGTTGTCACATGACTCTATGACAGAAGAGATTCAATTCAACAGTGAAGAAGAAAAGTCAAACAATAACTCTGAAATCAGCAAGGAAGAAGATTTCCTGGGTAATGATCGAAATTGCTATTTCAGCAACAAGGTTCAATGTTGGTGGACGACCTCATCTGGCAATTTTAAGTGAAGTATTTAAAGTTGGAGGTATAGAAATTAATGATATACCTCATTCACGAAGCACACTTCATAGAAAAAAGTTCAAATATGTAGAATTTGAAGGAGACTTGAAGTGGATTTTAATAACTAATCATCTTAAAGGCCGACAGCTTATTCTTCATTTTTATACCAAATTGTTGGAAAAAATTACCATTGGACTTAACATTATTCAAAAAATTAAGCAACGTGCAGTCTCAATGAGTCCCCCGGATGACGATACCATGGAAGACTATATTTTAGATGTTGTTCAATGTCCCTCTTCAAAGGGAGTTGACCAAGCAGAACAAGTGCACCATCTTTTAGAATATTACAGATGTAAAGAGCAGATCATTGGTATATGCTGTGATACAATTGCAAGCAATACAGGTGGAGTCAATGGAGCAGTCCAAATTCTTACAAATATTTTGAAATTACCAATTTTGTGGATAATGTGTAGGAGATACATATGAAGTACATGTATCTTACTATATGGCTGCTCTTACTGGTGAGAAAACTAAAGGTCTAAGAAGAGCTCTTTATGTCAAGCTAAAGAACAAGTGGCCTGAAATCTGTGATAAAGTTAATGAAGTCAAAAATTTATGTAAATTGTACTGGCAAAGAGATGATCTGAAGACTGGCTCTGTTCTTCGCACTGTTACAGAAGAAGCTAAGACATTTTTTACTAATGCAACTACTGGTATGGTGTTTTCAAGGAATGATTATGATATAGTTTGTAAGCTTGCCTCCTTCCTTGGAGAGGTACATGATTTTAGGTTTCATCAACCTGGCGCCTGCTATGAGGCAAGGTTTTTAGCAGATGCGATCTACATCCTGATTTTTTATATGACCAAATATATCAGTAATATCTTGACAGAAAAAGAAGTGCTGCAGTTGAAGGATGCAAGTTTGTTCATTGCAATTTGCTATGTTCCATGGTTTTTGAAAAGTTTTTTAGGATTTCTGGCTCCCTACAATGATTTGAAAGCTATCCAGACAGCCTATGCATTGAGAAAAGTAAATAAGAATATTAGAAATGCTTTGCTTTTCAGAATGGGATGTCATATGTGGTACTTATCTCTGCAACTCTGTGTTTTGTCCTTTAGGGATAAAGAAGTTCCTTCTGAAACAAAGCTAAGAATGCTGTTAGCTCTGATTGAGTTTAAAGAGCCAAATGAATTTCAGCGTTGTAAACCATCAAATGTTTAAATTGGAGACCACAGAGCTACCTGAATTGATTTCTGAGAAAAGCTACCTTCTTTTCAAACATTCTAAAATATCAAGAGCAAGTATAAAAGAATTGTCTTAATAATATAGATGTTTTTAACCATCCTCAGTTGCTAGATTTTATTGCATGAATCAAAAACATATCTGTTGTAAATGATGGTACAGAAAGAAACATTAAGCTCATTAAAGATTTTATTTCAGCTACTAGAGACGAAGCTACTAGAGAAGATCACCTTCAAAATGTACCTTTTGTAGTAAAAAAGTCTAGAAAAAACAGTATGACTAAAAAGGAGCTTGGGAACTGTTCAAAAAGTTGAATTTTTGGAGAAATGTTTCACTGCAATAAAATCTTAAATTTGCTAATAAATACTAGTTTTGATGTATTTATTTATTTATTTTATTTTTTTTTAATTCTTATATTTATAAATATAATCTATCAAGTTAAATAGTAAAAAACAATTGGAAATGATTTATACGCATTTAATTGTTTTGTTTCAATTTTCTAAAATGTAAAAAAATTTTGTTTTTTTTAATGTTAAACCAGCTTAACATTACAGGGTTATTCATTCTTATATGCGCGTCTATTCATTTTTATATGCGCCTTTATTCATTCTTATATGCGCATTTATTCATTTTTATATGCGCCTTTATTCATTCTTATATGCGCCTTTATTCATTCTTATATGCGCATTTATTTATTTTTATATGCGCATTTATTCATTCTTATATGCGCTTTTATTCATTTGTATATGCGCCTTTATTCATTCTTATATGCGTTTTACAAAAGCAATTGTAAAAATGCAATTTGAACAAAAAAAAATCATTTAAGCAATTTGTTTTGAAGAAACAGTTTATTTTTTCAAAACAAATTCTTCTTATTTCCAGGTAAACGAGGTTAAAAATACTTAAAACGAAGACTTTTTACATTCGACGATGGTTTATTTAATTTAGTATTAGTTCTTTGTTTTTGATGATAGTTTATTTAATTTAGTATTAGTTCTTTGTAATTTTATCATTAAATTTCTTGATTGATTAAGTTATTAATTAATCTAATTATTCGTTCATCTAGATTTAAATTTAATTATTTATAATTATTATTAATATCAATAATTAATAGCTGTAATACTTAATAGCTATACCATGTAATATAATACTTAATAGCTATACAATGAGAGGCTAGTGTTTGCCTAATAGAAAGACTCCAGTGGAATTTACAATTGTCCATAACAAGCACCGGCGCTTTAACATTTTCATTCCTAATCGCTGGTACCATCATTGTAGTTATAAAAGTACAAAATGAATCTGCATTCCAGCCTCCAGTTTTTATTTCATAAGCAAGCACTCCCATTGTTGAAACAGCACAAATTAAACTAACATTCTTACCACGATTTGCAGGTGACTGTAAAATTGCTGGCGGTACCTTTTAGCAAACAACCATATGTGCTGTTAGTGTGCACATTAAATCCAGTTTCATCCAAATAAATAAGTTTTTCATCTAATGTTCCGTTTATTTCGTTTGCAAATGCATAGCGTGCATTAGTAACTGGTGTTGAGTTTCGTTCTTTTGGCACACGCACAACACGTTTTCTTGATAAATCTGAGCGTTTGAGTTTTCTTGAAATAGTAGGCTGAGACATGTTGAAGCCTGTTGCAGAATGAATTTCTTTTTATTGCTTCTTGCGTGCAAAGATTGTTTTCTTGTACGCATAATTTGATAATATTTTTTATTTGAGAGTTTATAGGTCTTTTACCTCGTTTTTTATCAGAAAACGACTTGAATGCAGTCATGTCGTCGAATTATCCTCTGTTAACTTAACGACAAAATTTTGAACTGTGCGCTTTGATAAATTAAGAGAAGTGGAAATGCTTGTTGTAGATTGATTTCTTTCAATTAAATG